AATGTTTGCTTCCAGATATTGTTCTGATCTCACTCCATGTAATTCTTTTCTCGACTTACCATCTACTCACCATACAAAAGCACACACGTATATTACATATTTAAAGAGGATAAATGAAATTCCAGACAAAAATGAAGGAAGGTTATAGACAAGGATGGCCTGCTTTCTCCATCTTTGCCTCCTTTCCTTCCTTTGTTGACAACTGGCCCTGTAGGTCCTGTCACAGTGGAAACTTGTAGTAGGTTGGTAAGGCATGGATCAAACCTTGGAATATGATAAGGGTAAATCTGAAAAGTCAGGTGGTAGTGAGCAAATGCTTTATTCAAAATCCACTAACCCTCACCCCAAGATGGTAAAGAACACTCTTACAGCTCAGAGATGGGAGAAAGCCAGCAAAGATTTGGAATGTGTTGGTGAAGGGTGGCCCTGGAGGGTGAATGTAGTCATTTAGTTGCCTGTTCCCCAGAAGGAGGATGGCCAAATGTGGGTCTTCTTTTGCCAGGACAGTGCTAAATGTGTACCCAAGGACAGTAAGTGGGGTGTGTGTGTGTGTGTGTGTGTGCGCGCACGCGTGTGTGCGTGCGCGTGCATGTGTTTGCATAAACCTTCAACAGTCTTTCCTCTGTCATATGAAAGCTATTTCTCTGAAAGTACTAGAACATGGTGGTCCCTTCCAGGAACAAGTGACTTTTGATTCTTTTGTCACCTCCAGTGAGAATTGTAGTTGATGACCTTACAGTTCCTTTTGGATTCCAACAGAATTCAAAATAATTTGAAATTAATTGCTTCTTTGAAATTTGTACATAAGACTATAAAGTGGGGGCATAAGCCTTCTATGTAGATCCCATTTGCATATAATGGAAATGTGTATAATTTAAATATTAAGAAGTATGTTATTATTATGAAGAATAACTTAGAAATTATTGCCACAACCTAAATGTGCCAATTCATTTCAAAAATCAAAGGTGTTCATATTTTGGGGTAGTAAATTTTAACAAATTTTCAGCCTGAGATACCCCAATTTTTCTTAGAATGCCAAGTATTTGCTATAATTCAGCCAGCCAGCACAGCTTTAAAATGTTGAAACCATCTTTATTTCTTTTCTATGATTTCAGAAAATGGGAAATAAAAGTTTTATGGAAGTCATTGTCAGATCATAGCTATTCAAATTATGTTCTAAATTTTAAGAAATATTAATGTCCTATTCATTGTCTTTTCTCTCATTTTTTCTTACTTTCTTATTCATTCCACAGTTTTTATGATTCTAATGATTATTTCATAAAATAGAAGTCAACCTTTGTAAACAGATTTTTAGAAATGTTAATAAATTACATCTATCTGAACTTTTAGCAATTGTTTGATTTTGAAAACAGTTTGAATTCTTGTTGTTCTATATCATATCCATTTATACATTTTCTAGGTAAGAAATTATTATGGTTCTGTGTTCCTTTTAGAATTAGGAAATTAATAGAACTAAAGAAGATAATTATACCCACTAACAAATAACCTTTTTAATGGCAGGCTTATTTTTTATGTCATAAGTCTTATGATATAATGAAGAAAATTTAAGTTTTTTTTTTTAAATCTAAACATAGTCTACCTTTTATAAAATGTCTCCAAAATACAATAGTGGATACTATATAAGGTAATATAAAAGTAATGGAGTATTAGTGTTACTATTCTATTATACATTCATGTAATAGATTGAAGATTGATATTATAAAGGCACAGACATAATTCAAACTTTTCCTTTCTTTCCCTTTCATATACATATGCATATCATAGTTCCTTAAACAAAATACCTCTCACTTCACTTAAGAAATTTGAGAGATTTGAAAGCAGTGATAACATAATTTGATTATACTTGAGAGCTCAGAACAACAGTAGCAGCTCTTTAAGCAGCTGCCACACTATAACCATACCCTTGGCTTTTGACCTGAGCCAAAGACTTCTTTCTAATTCCAATTAGTAATAGTCTTGATAGTCTATTAGAGTCAAACAACAACAACAACAACAAAGAGGGAGAAAAGCATATTTAAATTCACACATGTTGGTGGTCTAACATAAAGGAAGAACACCTGGATCATAAAATTGTGGATAGGTGGGGCGAGTCTCAGTCACTTAAAGAAAGGTTAAATTATATAGAATCCAGTGGAAAACAATTTTTAATGTATATGTAGAGACTATCATTATTTGAAAAATACAGAATCATGGAAAGCATGCCTGTAATCCCAGTGGCTCGGGAGGCTGAGGCAGGAGAATTGTGAGTTCAAAGCCAGCCTTAGCAATTTAGTGAGGTCCCGAGCAACTTGTGGAGACCATCTCAAAATAAAATATAAAAAGTGCTGGGGAGGTAGCTCAGTGGTTTAAGTGCCCCATGGTTCAATCCTTGGATGAAGATATATATAAAATCACATAAAAAACATATATGTATGTATGTTTATATATATATAAACATATATATATATATACACACATATACACACATATATATATATATATATACATACACACACACACATATATATATACACACACACAGAGAGATATACAGTTATTAGTACTTTTTCCATATGTCACATAGTGGGAAGACCTGGATAAGATACAAATTTTCACAGCAAGTGAGGGATAATATGTAATCATTTGGAGCATATAGAACAAGTATTTAAAGTCAGAAGGTATATTGAGCTTGAATAAAGCAGATCTATGCATATTTAATTCTAAAATATAATTTTATTGGGTTTTCTTGTACATAAATAATATTACTGAATAAACTGCTTTGCTAAAAATGAAATATTTCTTACCATTGGTATTTTCCTGATGATAGCCTGCCTGTTTCTAGGCCACTTCTTCTTTTCATGATTTTCTGAATGATTTGTTGAATGTTGAATAAAACTTAAGAACTTACTCTAAAGCCTTTTAGAATGAGGCACAGGTATAAATAAATACATAAAAATGAGACAAATCCTAGTATTGGTATGCACATAAGGCGATTAGGAAAAAATAAATCTTCTTTGGATAAACTTATTATTAAATAAAAGAAAAATTTAGTTTTTAATGAATTACCATTGTCAACATTGTCATAATATAGGAAGAGCATAGCTTAGAATAGTCAGTAAAATGATCCAGTTTTGATCACTAATCAGATATATCAAAATACCACCTTGTGTTTATACAGCACCTGTTTCTAACTAGGTGAAAGAACAATATCAATGATCTTTTTATTTATTTTTTTTTTTGCATTTGGATTTTATTTTGTTATAGCCATCAATACTTATTATGCAACTGTGCAGTTGGAAAAATGATCTCATTCATATTTTACTAACGTGGAAGTAGGTTCAGAAATATAGGTGACTTGAAAAAGCTCCAAAGAGAGATTTTTCATACAGCCTTGAAAATGCCTAGTTTTCTCCAACATTGGTTGCTAGAGCTGCTGTTTTTGTTTTAATACCATCAGGTTTTTCTGTGTGTTTTCTTTTCTCTTTGGTCAGTAATCATTTTCTTCCTTCCTTTTTCTTCTCCACCTTTCCTTCCCATTTCTTCTCTCTGTCTTTCTTCTCCCTTCTACTTTCATTTTTTAAAAAAAATTCTACCCAAAAATTTGAGCAGAAAAGTAGTCTCAATTTTTTCATTGGATTTTCTTCTATGTAAATAATATTCCTGAGTAGCTATAAAGTAGCTTCCCTAATTGACTAATTTTTGTGTTAATTGAATTAACAATTGTTCTGTGTAGCAATTGCTGCATAATAAACTACCACCAATTTAAAACTCTTCCTTCTGTTTGTCAAAGGACATATTACTAAACCAATTACCATTTTCAAACTCATTTACTCCATATACAAAGGCAATGTATTTCTTTGAACCCTGAGAGTAAGAATTTTGTCTTTAAGTCCTCATTTCATTGGAAAGGCTATTCTTACAGTTTCAGTTTTGTTTATTAAATTAGCTTTTCAAAGAGATTGTTAAAATATACCAAATTCTTTGAAGTCCCATTTGACCAGCAGCATGGGCTCCTCCTTCCTAATTTTCTTTTTTCAGTGTACAACTTCTGACTACCCATCTCTTATTTTAACACCATCATTTGTAGGTTAAACTTATTAAATGTTTGCTTATATGTGATTGCTATACATAACACATATGGAAAACAAAATTAAAATGAATATAAAAGAAAGATGAACAGGTTTGCTTTCATGGATTACTAATTTTGAAGTCATACTAATTTTCAATTAGTCAGTGGGGGGGAAGTTTTCCAGAACTATGTTGATCAAGTACAAATTTTTAAAATTGTATTTTGATTAAGTTCAATTTAATGCAATTTCTTCATTATGCTTTAAAATTCATAAATATAAAAATAAACAATTACAATGCAGTTTATTATTAGGATTTTGAAAGTCATTAGCTAAAAGCATCAGCCTTTTATTTTTATTATGTGACCTTTTATGTATATAATTTAATATAATGCTTTTACACTTCTACTCCAGTTTATATTCATTTGTTACTTTTCCAAAGTCCTAGAAAAATAAATTATTTTATTTTTCTTTTTAATATTTTGATAAATATCTTCTTATATGATGGTCAACCTTTTTTGGCTTTAAGTAACTACATGACAATTGCCTATTTATTTGCTTTATGAGGAAAGAATATTCTGGCATGCAATGAGTTATCACACAGTGCTTTGTGTCAAGCTGTAGCACGTGTATACTCACTTACACAGTTTGTGCTAACAGCCATTGTTGGACCAGGCATTTCTCCAAAGCTCACGAGTTAGGGAATGGTAATTATAGCAAGTTGTATATTATAAATAATGCATGTATGTTCCGCACGAGCTATGTGGGATTTCGGCCCATTTGCTAGAACATAGCTGCATAATGATTTGTTTGGATTTTGTTGCAGATGATTGATAGTGCAGAATGTTGGCAATGATGTAAATTACTGTTGGGCTGCCTTGAAAATTTCAGTACAAGTGGTGATTTCTTCTCTTTTTCTGTGTGCTTGTCTAGTCTCGACAGACACCTGAGGGTGAGTTCCTTCCCCTTGACCAACTTGAACTGGATGTAGGTTTTAGTACAGGGGCAGATCAACTTTTTCTTGTGTCCCCCCTCACAATTTGCCACGTGATCGATGCCAAAAGCCCCTTTTATGACCTATCCCAGCGAAGCATGCAAACTGAACAGTTCGAGATTGTCGTCATCCTAGAAGGCATTGTGGAAACAACTGGTGAGTAAAAACATAGATATGCCATCAAGTTTTTTTTCCATAATTGCATTATATTATATGTACAATACCTGTAATAAATTGGTCTAAATGACTCGAGTTCACAATAATGAAAGTAATAACACGTCTCTTATATCTTTGTTAACACTAAATTGATATTACTTTGCAAATCCAGCTTTATTGTTTTGATGGTTACATGCCTGATATTAATACAGGAAAACTCACTGAAAAAAAAGGAACAAAGATGATGCCTTAGAAATGATTATGTTGTTCTGTTTTAATTATAAACTTGGATTTCCTATAATCATGATTTTTCATATTTTTTATGATTTTCATATTTTCTAAACATTTAAGGTTAAAAAAACTCAAGGTAATTAGTAATAGCCTGAACCCAATGTGCATATTCTTCCCTTGAGGATGCTGATTTGGGGTGTCATTGATAGAGCTTCAATATCTATTATGTACAACCTCAGTGGAAAATTCCCTCTGTGTGTGTGTGTATGTATGTATGCACGAAAGCAGCATTTTAATTTCAAAGTGGGTCAATAGATTTCCTCAGCTGAACCTTGACTAGTTTTGTTTAAAAAAAGAGAGATTTTTTTTTTCTTTTTCTGCTTCAGCATAGCTATGTGCTGCACGGTATTCCTTAAGAGGCAAATACCATTGGAAGGCCCCAAATACTTAAAATTTGCTACTCTCTGAGGAGAGTCAGGTTGGCAAGGGAAAGAAACAATAAAAAGAAGTAGATTATTTGGGACCTCAATATTGCCTAGCTGGTTGGGAACCTGCTGAATACTTGAGACCAACAGTGGAACATCTGTATGTCTGTGTGTGTGTGTGTGTGTGTATGTGTATGTGTACATGGATGTCTATTTTTCTTTAGGTAATTAAAAAAAGCAAAAAATATTTTAACTTTCAACTTTTAACTTTTTTCTTTCATTTAATCTTAAAATGCTATTATATATTAACTATAACAATATTGAACTTGACATTGACAGTAACATAAATTCAGTCTTTATACCAAAGTGTAAGATCTTTGATTACACATAGTTGCTTTTGTCTAAGGGGACAGCAAGCCATTGTAATTTTTCGCATCTATCATATAATGCCTATCAGAAATTTAAGGAAAATATTCAGTTTCTATGAACTTCTTTTCTTTCTCTTTAGAGAAGATAGTATAATTACTACCTCAACACTGTATCTTAAAAATTATTTTTTAATAAATGCTTCAGTTTAAAAATTATGATTTTTACTCATAAAAAAGAAAAGATTTACCTCATCAAACCATATTTGAAATTTGATATTTTTGTCCATTATTTGATGACTTAAGTCCCCATTGAATTCTCAACTAAAATTGAAATGATGTCATTGTACTTTTCTAAAATGTCATATATTAGTGAGCAATGAAATCAATTTATAAAGGTTCAGTCCAAGAAATACTTACATTTCACTGTAAATCTTATACATCTCATTTACCAAAGTAATAATGAATTATTAGAGCATAAGCAATACATGTAGGCATATTTCTTTATTCCTATAATATGTGATTCTTATAGTTTTGAACTATTATTTAAATCACTGACATGAGTGAATATTTTGTTTGAATTGATAGCCTTGTGGTCCTGTATTAGATCAGTCATAATTATTCATTTATACATCCATTTATCTTTAAATACTGTCTTTATTAAGAGTGAAATCATTTGCATACAAAATCACAGTCTAAAGATAAAATATTCCTCAACCTTCCTTTGTGTTTGTTGACCTTGATGTGTTTGAAAAATTCAGGTCAGGTATTTTGTAGAACATTTCTATTTGGATAAGTCTGGGGTTTTCTTATTTATTAAGTCTTTTGATTTTTGGCTTCTACATGGGCACTTTGAGGGAATGCTGAAGCAGGCTCTATTGAAAAATTTTACCTATATTTCAGAGGACCATGATTAGTAAATAATGTCCTATATAAGTCCGTGAACAATTCTGTAACATCAGTCATTCATTAGCATTATAGATTTTATTTTAACATTTTTTCCTTCTTGCTTTGTTTGTTTGTTTGTTTGTTTGTTTGTTTTAATGAAGTGGCTGAGAATACTTTCAACATAAAATGTGAAAACTTAGCTGAAGACTGAATTTCTTATTTAGATATTACCTTTCATGGAGAAGAGATTATAGTCTATTTTCTTTTAACCTCTTAATTAAGCCTGTTTTCTAGATCTAATATAGCAAGACAAACAGAAAAAAAAAACATTGCTCATAATTTATAGAATTTATTTGTTGGAAAATTTATCTGACATTTTGTTTGTGTATATGCCCTAACTAATTAAATTCCACACTGTTCAAACTCTGTAAAACCTGTCTGTTTCTAGCCATCCTTGAGTATGATAAAAATAACACTGACATTTTTATATCCATTTGATCATTTAAAATTTTATTGACATTTATTCAGATTCATCTTTAAAGATATTTTCTCCTTTATCCCTTCATTAAAAATAAAATTTACTTCCTCATCATATTTATTGCTTAGAATAAGACAGGAGTTTTTGAGTTTGTTTTAAGTCAGCAAGAATACCATTTTCTACCTCTGAAGTTCTTTGGTGTGGAGCCTTGTGAATAAACTTATACTAGATGCAGCTTTCCATCCTATTAAGCATTGAAGTAGCAAGTTTTCAAGCATGTATTTATTCACCAGATAGGTATTTATTGAATGTATGCTGTGTGCTAGGATGTATTTGAGATGCTAAACATAGTGACTGATACAACAGAATCCTTTTCCTCCTGGGTGTTATATTCTAATTGGAAGAGGTAGACCACAAAACACAAATAAATAAGCGAGATATTACCAGGTAGTAATGTTTCAGGAATAAAGAACAAAGCAAGACAAGGTGGTAGGATGAAAAATGTATGCAGGCTACTTTAGGTTAATGGTCAGAGAAGACCTCACTGAGGAGGTGGTGTTTAAGCTGAGTTCAGCTCTCCAGAAGGATCACCTGTACTGGTTGGGGGCAGAATGCTGCAGGCACCGAGGAACAGCTGATGAGAGTGCCCCCATTTGGGAATAAGCCTGTTTTATTCCTGGAACCAAAAGACGGCGGAGGTGGTTGAAGCAGAGTGAACAGTGTGGAGAGTGAGGTGAGAAGCTGGAGAGGTGGAGGGGCCACCTCTGCACTAGAGATAATTTTATTGCACCATCAGGGACTTCATTAAAAAGCAGAGTAGTAAGAATTTTAAACCATATGTAACACACACAAAACACTGTTGTTTCTACTGGGTTGCATGAAGTTTATTTGAAAATGAATAACCCTAGTGTCTTAGAAATACATACAAATGCATACAAAATTCAGACAGTCACCTCGTTCCTGTTAATCAAATTCTCCCTTCTGTTTACCCCTCCTTCCCTTCCCCTCATCCCAAGGCCATCCTCTGCTAAGAAACAAATCTTCTAATCTCATTTACTTATTGCTTCTTTCCATTCCTGTGGTCTCAGCAGGAGTGGTGGGGAGGCAGGTGAGAAATTAGAAGCTTTCTAATTTCCATGGAAGTTTCAGCTTCCAGTCTAGGACTCCTAATTATTACTTTCCTCATTTCCTTGCAAATACTCCTCAGTGATCAGAGTCAAGGATTTTTGCCCTCCTGGCTTCAAGTGAATTGGACTTTACTGCCCAAGATTTGTCTCTTATTCATCAACAACCACTACAGACCTTTTCCCATCCAGCAAATTCTTAAATGTTGGTTACCTCTAACTCTTGCTCCCTTTGCTTCTTCTCCCAGGAGAGAGAACACTGCTGGAGGCAAACAAAGCATTGCAGATTTGGCTCATTAGAACTGGATGCTTTCAAACTTCAATCTGGTTTCTGCTGCTATTTGGCAGTCTTTTTAATTGTCTTTTCTGTACTCTCAGGCTTTCTCCTCATGGGATCTATTTTAGACCTTTTCTCTCCCTCCATGTCCTCAGTCCCAGCTGTCCCATCCTTCCTTGACACATCATCTCTCCACCTATTCTATTAAAAACAATGTGATTTTTTGTTAAAAATTTCTGTACATTCCTTTACTGTCTTTATCCTCTTCTCATAGTTATGTCCTCTTTTTCTTTTGTGGTAACAGTAGAAGAAAGTATTTTATCACAAATCGTATTCTTTATAAGTAGCTTTTCCCCCCATAGCCTGTGGGCTTACATTTAGTTTTTACCATACTATAAATCTAACATCCCACTGACTGCTTTGTCTTTCAGTTTTCTCTAAAGGAGGAAATAAATCTTGTTATTTGTTCCATTTATATGTTGTTTTTTTTTTTCTTTCTGGGATTTAGAAACAAAAGATTTTCCCTTTCTGCCTTTTCCCCCCCTCCTCCTCAAACTCCTCCCCTACCTCCTTCTATTTTCTATATGTTCCTTATATCCTGCATCATTGCCCCTTGCTACTCCTCTAGCCTGCATAGTCTTCATAGCTATCTGCCTTTGCCTCTTTTCTTTTCTAGTTTAGATTCTGATGTTTTTGGTGAATTCACAAAGTACTCACAAGTTCACCATTCCTCTATCTCCAGTTATGAAACCTACCTCCAATTACGATCTCATGTTTTTTATTCATTTCAGGCCATATTTTTCCACTTCAGTGTCACCATTTTAATTCTGAGTCCCCTTCTCCACAGACCCACCAATCATCTAATCCTCAAATTACATCTCTTTTGGAAGGTGTGCCTTTATTAATCATCACTATTTTATCATTGCCAACACCTTTCCTTTTATATCCATCTAATTTATTCATTTGACGAATATCTGTTGAGCACATATTATGGCATAAGCACTGTTCTAGGCACTAGAAACACATTAATTAGCAAGACAAAATTTTTGCTCTGGAAGGCAATGATATTATGTGAGAAAACAGTAAAGAGAATGAAGTGCATCTTCTATAATGTTAGAAAGTGATAACATGTCGGTCGTGAAAAAATAAAGCAAGACTAGAAGGAATGGGAATGTAAGGAGGCCAGGGAAGCTGGTGAGGAAAAAGTGACAG